ACTCTAATTTTGTGCTGGAAAATTCAGAAAAATACCAGCAGTCACCCCTTACAATGACAAACTTAGTTTTCTTTTACCAAATATAAAGTTATTTAAGCTCAAGCACAGATATAACTAGAAATTAAATAAAAATTAATAATGTAAGCATGCAGTCTGAAAATATGTAAACCACAATCTTAAGGTATATTTATTCTTTGAACATGTCTAGGTTAATTTTATTTCCATGAAATGTCAATGAGGACAAAAAGCTATTTAATATAATGATATTAAATAAAATAAATTATATTTTTTTTTAATATCTGTCTATTCTCGTGTGTTAATTTGGACTACTGTTTGAGGCGGGGTGTTGGGCTAGTAGACCCATGACCCAGGAGAGTCGTCTGGGAAAATGTTTTAACATGGCAGCAAAACAAATAAACTCATTCTGTATTTCCTCAAATACCTGTGGCATGTAGTCTTTAGGTGACTGGGACGCACAATGCTAAAGTTTGTAGAAAGGCAAAAAACCAGTGTCAAAATTATAGTGGGTATTCCCTCCTCCTGTCACTTCTAAGATGCTGACAGAATGAGTTCCTCCTGCCCCTGGAAGATGCTTTGCTGCTTTGGTGAATTTTGCTCGTGAAGAACAAAACTCTTTTCCCCCTGCACTGGGTAGAAGCTAATGTTACAGGTAACTGTACGTAAAATAAATAATTATGTTATATCAAAGTGGTTGTTCAATTCATGCAATCACATGCTTGGGAAATGTCTAAACCATTCCCATTCAAAATATTTGCTTGAATACAACGTTTGTAGCATTTTGAGCAATTACATTTCATGGGAGATTTGAGCTGTTCTGCTAATTCTGTTGTTTTCCAGCTTGCCGAGATCCTTCCTTTCCCAAAATCCTGTCAGTGCTCATAAAAGCCAAGAAACTGTCTGTGCAGTTGACGTTTGACTGTTTGCATAGCCCCGTCTCTGTTTCATGGACAATTTCCAAGATCTCCTCCCTTTTCATGTTGTTAGAAAAATATTGATATTTTACTTTATCTGGTGGTGATTTTATGCATACCACTTCCAGTGGGACAATATACTAGACAGTGCTTTAGAAGAGAAGAATTCCTTTCAGCAATGCTTCTCTGGCCTAGAAGCAATAAATGGCTAGAGCTACAGGATTGTTTCTTACAGCCCCCTTGCTACCAGCTTTCAAAAGTGCTGACTTTTTTTTAACTTCAGTGGTACAGGAATTATTTCAGCTCTTATTACTATGTGGCTACAACCTGACTTACCAGTTGGTATCGCTGAGTATGGTCAGAGCCTCGTCCATAACGGCAGGATCAGCCACATCACTGTACGTTATCAACATTTCGTAAATTTGACTGGCTGTCGTTTTGCGGATCTACAGGGGAGAGGCAGAGGAACGTTTAGTGAAGTACCCAGAGTCCTGTATGAAGAGCCCAGTCCATCACTGGTACTGGTTCTTCCCGCTGACAGTCCTTTTATGGGGACACTGCAGCACCCAGACCTCCAGCCTGTCCTTGCCTCTCAGAGCCATTTGCTGCAGGGAGGGACTTTGTTTCTGCACCTCAAGGAAATTCATGCTACTACAATCAGTATTATTTCACTAAACTTTTGCAGGATTTCAGATGGAGATCCCTCCATCCTGGGGAATTAATTCAAATGTTTGAGAAGGGTCCAACAGCAGCACTTCCTTTCTTGAAGTGACTCCCTGAGCCAAAGTCTGGCCCTAACTTTGCTGCTGTATGCTCACAAAACAGACAGGCTGCCCAGTCTGGAGATCATCAGAGTCAGCAAAACTCTTTAAAAAACCGTTAGGAGAGAGATGATGATGTAACATTAGTTAGTAACAGGAACATTTTACACTCCCGTTTCTGGAAGCTGTTAATTTGCAAGTGTTTTTTGCAGAGCCCTGTTCAGCAGTGATGCTGGGGTGCATACAGAAAGCGCCAGCTGGGCTGGGTTCTGAAGTACAACCTGTACAAATATACTTGATGGAAGACAGCAAAACTGCAACAAAACCAAATTTTGCTGTTTTTTTCAAGAAAGCCTGATGCTAATGAAAGAAGGCAAAGAGTAGAGTACTGGTGCTAAATGAAAGTGACTCATCTGTAAAAACAAACCATATTTATCATGTAAAATACCAATAAAACATGAAATAGAAATGATCTCGCTTCAGTTCTCACACTGTGCCCTTCCTGCAAAGGATTCTTCATGTAGCAAGTACATACAACATGGAAACAGTTGGGCTATGAATCTGAAGTTTCAAACTGTGCTGAGCACCGTGTGATTTTAACCTTATCAAAAAGTAATCGGCAAAAGTAATCAATGAGAATAAACACTGTTGGTTTGTGTTGGCCAGACACCAGGCGATTCCGTCTGTTCTCAAACCACTTTAAGACCTCGTGGGTTTTCATCTTTTTTTTATGGGCCCTTGCAGTTGCTGCTGGCAGCCTTTGTTTCTCCTCCACTGCTGGACTCCAGCTGCAGCTCAGCAGCTGCCCATAGCAGCAGAGGTGCGAGTCCTCACTCACAGGAACATCCACGGACCTTCCCAGGTGAAACCCTCCTATGAACACCAAAGCCACAGAGTGCTGTGTTACGCAGTTGGCTGTCACAGCAGCTGTAATTTGGGGCTCCCAGGTTTTGCACCAAAACTAAACAAAACAAGAAAAAAAATAACCAAACCAAAAAAAAATCCAAACCTTACTGAGTCAACAAAAATTTTAACGGACTAAGGTAATATTATCTCGCATATGATCTTCTCTGACACACAGAATAACTCAGGTTATTAAGAGGTGCCCTGTTTCAGTTTGTTACATGAAAAAGGTAAACTTCTGATAAACTCTCCCGTGTTGCACAAGCTTTCGTCACACCTGACAAAAAGAACAAATATATTTTTCTTGAAGCAGAACTCCTACTGTGTTGCTCCTCTCTGAAACACTGCAGACCTAACAGTCATTTATCTGACTGGAGCTTTCAGGCACTAACTGGTGAACAGCTCTTCACTGTGCTGAGCGCTGCGTAAAAGACATTAATGACTTAGGCACCTAAATTACCCCTAATTTAAAACAGCGAGGACAGAAGGTGGCAAAGCAGTAATTGGAAGAACCTGCTTCAGGCGGCAACATTACAGACAGGAGACTCTTGAGAAGTAAACCCCATTATTACACGTTAAAGAATGCTGCTTTAACGCACTGTAGTTATTTTTTACTTGTACTTTAAATAAAACGTTTGATAGTACACAATGTCTTCAATACTTACTATAGGAAATGGATGGCAAAGAAGGAGAAACAACTGAAATAAAACTTTCTCTCTCATGTCTCCTTGAAATTGAATCAGGCCACAAAACCTAGAAAATGTAAAAAAACAGATCTTCTATAGTATTTATTTGTGTTATAACTGCAAAAGCACATTTTGAGGATCAGAATGAAATGTACATGAGAAGAAAGGGCAGGGGGGAAGCTTTGCTACCACCAGGAAATCTCGGTTCTAGGCGCTGTGGGAAAGCAAACACTGAGGGTGAGTGTACTGAAATCCTGCCGGGTTAGCGAGATGCCACACATCTCTGCCAAACACAAATATGGGTTAGAGCTACTGCCCGCCAGCACCGACGTCTGTGCACTAAAACCCACGAGAATCAAGCTCTCCATGGACAAAAGCGCAGGGGCGGCTGTGTGTCTGTGGTGCAGCTGTGTGAAAGACAAATGAGAAGCATGGGCAACTTCTCCTTTTAGGCTTTCTTGCGCTCGGAAAATATTGCCAATAAGGCAATGAAACCAAGTCAATAAAATCATTGCTTGACGTCATTATACCTGAATAATTTTGCCAAGTTTCTGCCAAGGAGCCCTTGTTCAGCTTTGCAATGCTTTGTCTTTTTTTTTCTCCCCTCTCCTCACCCACGACTGTCTTTCCTGCCTGGTACATTTCTGTTCTGACTTCTCTGCTGTCTGAACTGAGGGCTGTTACCCTAAAGCCAGACAATAACGTCACAGATGTTTTCAGCTCTTTCTAGTGCACATATAAGAGCTAATCCATTACATATATTTTGCACTGGCACCAAGTGAAGCTCTCTACAGCAAAAAGGAAATGATTCACTGCATCTTTAAGAATATCAACATTTTCGAAGTTGTTGAATTTTATCAGATCCTTCGCATGTTTTCACTGCAACCACCCAGAAGTACAGGAAACTCTCCCAACCTTATATTACATGTATTTGTCTGTATTTTTCATTTACATTCCACACGAAACCGACCTTGCTGTTACATCTGGTATGTACTGCAGTTAAATTTCTTCACGTTTTATAAGCACAGAAATGATTACTCTATTTAATCAACTTACACTCCTATGCTGGAGCGAAGCTTCCGGATGTCTTTGGATCTTTTGATCTCTTCTTTACAAAAGGTGAATAACTTCACTGAAAAGGGATGGCTGACAATGAGGGGGGGAAAAAGAAAAAAAAAAGAGTAATAGATTTCAGCAAATTACAGAATTAATTAATTAATTCAGAATTACAAACACATTTAATGATTAAAGATGCCAAATTAACATTCAATGGAGGGGAAAGACACAACCCAGAGCAGTACACGCTTCTTACCTTTGGTAAAGACACAGGTAAGTTTGGCCACCACATTACCGGGCCTCCCCCCCCCCCCCCCCTTTTTTTTTTTTACAGGGAAGGGAAGAAATTAGTATTAATTGATTACATTGCTACTACCTGTATGCCGAGGCATGAACTACATTTATCCAAACGGATTCAGTATACACATGATCACTGGCTAACCATGGCTCGTGTTCACAACAAAGTGGGGTATGATTGGACTGTGTCAGGAATTGAAATATCCTACAGCCAAATGAAAAATTATTTAGTCTATATATCACTGTGGTGCCTTGGTCATTCCCTAGTCTTCAACCAAGCTTTACATAAAAGGGGATTAATGTTGTTCTTAAATGCTCCGCCATTTCACAGCCCAAATTCCTTCACTGATTCCAGACAACCTAATTAAACACAGGGCTTACAGTTCTGTTAAGTGTACGACTCATGAAACCATCTTTAAATATATTTAGCAAATTCTTTTCTTTTTCCACGCAGTCTGGGAAGTGTGATTCTCACGGCTCTTTCCCAGACATTCGTACAAACACAAGTACTGTTAGTATATTCCAAGGATCTATTAAAGAGAAGTAAAGTGGGAATACTGCTTTTATGTCAGTACAAATTATTTAATCTTTTACTTGCTACACTCAAAGCTGAAGTGCCATAGATGCAAAAGAAACTATTCCATATTTGTCTAGTAAGCACAATTACTTCTAGAGACTGCATATTTTGGAAACCTCACTGTACTGTGTATGTAAAGGAGAAAGCAAAAATCCTAACATTTATTTTCTGCTACGATGATTCCAAGCTGTGGATAAAAACTATTCAAAAAGCTGTGTAGTGCAATCTGTTGAAAAATAACATTTAAAACAAGAGGTTAATAGGAGTGACAAGATGTTTTGTTAAGTTAATGTGCCTTATTATATGTAGTTCTCCAGACAAGAGCTAGTGTTTCATAATTGCTTTAAAAAAATTCTTAACAAAATACTGACATTACTGGCAAATACCGACTTGGTTAAAAAACCTGAACAACAAACCATGGGATCATTAAGCTAAAGAATGCTGTCTATGGCTGTCTCAATATTGTCCAAAAAGCCACATTAGAGTAAATAAAGAGTAAATAAAACCACCAGGTTTTCAATGTTGATACTGAGGCTTTGTAAGACATTTTCAGAGGTGATAGTGGCTGAATTAAAATACCTCCATCAGATGCTGACAGAGCAGGTTCCTTGCCATCTGTTGCCTGCAGCCACAACAGCAGTGTTTCCACATTTTAAGGAGCATGATAGGCACGGCAAGCATGTGTGAGTGACACGGGATGAGAGCGACAGCCCTCTGCATCAATGAGGCCGTGTGTGTGTCTGCAGACACTGATCTGTCCGGAGAGATGAGGGAAGAGCGCATCTGCTCTCTTAGACCAAGAGGAGGTGTGGGTTTTCTTACCGTGGTGAAATTTCTCCTCTACACAAAGGCATTGTGTAGACAACTAATTACAATACCTGCAATGCGTGCTAGGCTTTCAGCACAGAACAGCAGCAATGTAGTGAATTAGGTGAGATCTAAACTGGTTGAACAACAGGGACGTCGCTGAGAAGTACAGCAACAAGGAGACCAATTGGATCAAGAGCATCTGGAATAAATTTAATAAACGTAACCTTATGTGCAGCGTTTTGTGTTTAGAACAGATGCACTTTCTGTCATTTGCCAATTTCACATTTGTAATAACTAAACCTAACCTATGTGTGATCTCAAATGACTCAAATAGCTTGGCCTCTCTAAAGGAAATTGAGAAAATTCCTTCTCCTGTGTGGGCACAGTGCCAGCAGAAACAGAGTCAGCATCTGGGGAAAAGGGATCAGTCTAAAGTCTTTACATTATGTAAACTGGGTGCACGCGGTACTGCAAAAAGGTGCAGGCTTTTTCCTCCTAAAGGTGAACTGAGTTTAAACGGTTCAACCGCCATCACCTGGGGTGGCCGTGAACCCCAGGACAGCCACTGCCACGCTCTTTATGGTTTACTAAGCAATAGCAGTGTCATTGCTTTAAAAATATCCACAGGAGCACGGAATACGCAGTTGGAGAGCAGTGGGGACACATACCATCTTAAACCACTATAAGACCACCAGAAAAATACTATACATATAAAAAGCAGGAAGACTTTTGCTGGATATGTGAAATACATACACACAAGAAAGAGAAACGCCACTTGCACTTGTCACTCCGGGAGGTGTTAGATCCTGACCTGTCATTCAGAGGCTACTCTGTTCACAGGGTTCTGAGTAGCAGACGGATCTTACCGTACTTTCTCAGGACCTAGCAATGTATCTGGGCTCCTGGCAGGCTGAGCACCCACGGTGATCACTCACTCCGGAGAGCAGCAGAATGACTCCTGCAGGAGCTCCAGGAGCCAGACCCAGAACATCATGCTCCAGTGCCAGTTTTGCAAGTGGCTGCAGTTCACTCGCCTTTATTCTCCCTTTCCATTGTCCCGCTACCAGCAGGGAGCTGACAGTTCCACTATCTTTTAAGAGCAGCCACTGCTGAGTTTAAAAAAGCCCAATACGTTAAATTTACGACAGCTCTGCTTCAAGCATGCTGCCCGTTACCTCCAGCAGTCTCTCTCATCAATTAACTCTCCCCACATTCTTCCGAACATGGCTCCACAACTCCACAATGCACACGGAGATGAAATCATGAGGTTTCAGGTTGTGCTACCACAGAGAAAAAACTACATTTCAACTGAAAACTACCGCCCTGTTTGGGGTGGGAGGGCACGCAGGGCAGGAGGAAATACCAGGTGAATGACACCGCAGTCCCACGAAGGCTTCAGGCCAGCATACACCTGCACTGCTGCCAGCAGGAGTGGTTCTCCCCGCTTCCTCCCCACCACCTCTCTCCTTATTTTGGCACAATTTGTGAGCACACAGCAGAACAGATCGAGGAACTACCTCAAGCTGAATTTCACTGGAAGAGGGTATTTTCAACCTGGGACAGTTCTCTAATGCTTAAGATGAGTGGGAAGTAACAGCCTGGAAAATGGCAGGCAGAGCTTTTCTCACGCCACAGATTCCAACTAAGCCAAGGACAACGCAGAAAAGCTGCTGCTGATAGCTTTAGATTACCCCGGTGATATTGAAGTTGATTCATTTCAAACCCCACCGGACAGATATTTTCCCCACGCTTCGCTTCCCTGCTG